TCATACTTAAATTAAACATCTATCCAGTAAATCCTATAATTCATATCGGCACATTCAATGTAATCAGTCTGTTTTGAAAACTACTCATAGAAAGTGGTCGGCACATTAATTGGGTTTTAGAAAACAGTATTTCATATAAATTCATTTAAACAAACATATTCAAAATTTTCATTCATTTTTGTTAAATAGGCTAACAAAATCCACTATTCCAATCTCATCCTATTCTAGTCTACGTGATATTGATGATACTGATCAAAGTAGATGTTTCTATTGTCATAATCGACTGCCAAGTTGTACACATCAATTAAATTTATTGCAACCTACCAATACTACTAATAATAATGTTAGTAGTATGAGTAGTATTATCTCAACAAATATGATGGGTAATCGACAAAAATCCACATCCGCTATACCATCATGTTCAACTTATGAAATTCGTCCAGCTACACCGGGTAAATTAACCGATTATGAACATGAATTTTATAATCCTTTATCAACTAATCATAGTTCTTATTTTTACAATCCAAATCATACTACTACTACTAATAATAATAATAGTAACAAATTATTATTTCCTTCAAATTTCTGCCATGACAATTTACACAGTCTAACAACGAATCAATGTTCAAGTAATTTTATGTCCAATGTTCAATGTTCATCATCATCGTCATCATCACCACATGTCTGTATGGATTTAAATCAACCCAATCATTCATGTACTCAGTCTATCCCTATCACTACTACTACTACTACTAGTACTACTCATATTGACAATCCAAATCCTAGCCTACATAGTATTGAAAATAATGTACCTGTACAAAGTTTAGATTATCTATGTGAAAACACATGTAATGAGAATAATTACACAGACAAATCATTCTTAATACAAACTGATAATCATACTACTAATAATAATAATGTTAGTAACATTGATCCTTCCGAAACTTGTACAAAAATTGATCGATCCCATTCAGATACAGTCACTGGAGGATCATTACAACGTATATCATTATATTTTACAAATGATACACAACAGATTAGCACTAATCATCATCATCAACATCACTATACTACTACTATTACTACTACTAGTAGTACTACTACTACAACCAGTCATAAAGAACATATCCTATTGAATAGAGGTGACAAATCACAACCATTCAGATCAGTAATACGTAATAGTTTAACAAATTATTCTATACTACGTGATTCATTCAAACATTATATAAATGAAGTTAATCATCATTCTAAAACGATCAATAATCGTGGCATAAACATACTCATAATAATAATAATAATAATACTATGTCATATCAACGTACTACTATCAATGTACCAAATGATTCAACCAATTCATGTCAAGCCTCGTTATTACCAACTAGTCATAATAATAATAGTAATACCAGTAATACTAATATGAGTACAAATAAGAGTATACGGAATACCAATGAACATTTCGACGATAAAACTATAGAACAATCAATGCTTGGCAATGAATTATCAGCAATAAGACGTAGTTTTAATACTACTCATACGACTACGACTACTACGACTACTGCCACAACAACGATGACCACAACTAATAATAGTAATAGTAATAATACAGCAACAGGGACAAATCAATTGATGACGGATCCAAGATCAAGAACATGTTGTTTTTGTTGGTGCTGCTGTTGTTCATGTTCATGTTAAGTATTAGTGATGATGATCAGTTGTATTGTTTTATACTAGCCGTGTAGTCAGATAAGGGAGAATGTGAGAAGTTAAGTGGAGGATGTGATCAATTTGGTGGTCTCGTGTGCTGTTGTTACGGGTATGTGGCGGGGGGGGGGGTGGATGTCACTTCCCGGTTGTCCACACATTGTGGAAAAGTGTTTCTCTTGAGGGACTTGCAAAAGGAAGATTGATTAGTGGTTGGTCTTGGAGATCTGGGTGTGTGATCGCAGAGTCCAAGGGATAACTGATTGAGGCCGGTCATGTATGGCCTTTTTATGAAAGGCCCTTAGTGGGAACCCTTACCCAAGGAGACGGAAATCCGTGAGATAGGGTGAGGTGTGACATTTTTAGGGTTGATCTTTTCTAACCCCTTGCTTCCTTGTGAGAAGGCAGCATCGCTGCAGATTCTGGTTGTCCGAGGGAAACACCTTACTGCTGTCACACCCCTCTGCAGTCAGCAGTACGACTTCGCCCTCAGACCTTGAGTAGCTGCTTTTAGTCTCATAGTTTTTCAGTCGACCTGCCTGGCATGGTAGAACGTTTAGGAACTTATGTTCTAGCCAGTATAGCTCGGTTGGGTCATGACGATAGTCAAGCCCGACCACCGCGTCAAGGTAGCAGCTACGGTCGGGATCAGGATTACTTACCTTACTTACTTTACTTAGGGTCTGTTACTACGAATGAAGTCTAGTTTGCGGTTAGCACTTGTTTTTGCTAGCGAGTTGGATTTGTTGGGGACGTCAGATCTCCAGAACTCACTTTTGATGACAAAGGTGCTCATTTTCAATTTTTGTGTTCGCTTGCATAAGTTGCTTAGTTGACATTGAGATTACATTTCACATGAGCGAAATCCTCCACTGTCATTGGTTAATATATTGTTTGAGTACGTTGTTTTTGTGGCTCTCCTAAAGATGTTTCTATGATGTATAGACAGACAGATACAACGTAGAACTTCGTACATAAGTACATCAGTTCAGGTTGCCATACCACATCAGCACAGAGACGCAACTGTCAGTTCAAATCCAAGAGTGCTAGCGATAGTAGAAGTATTAGCAGTAATGGAGAAGATTAGGGTTCGAAGATATGATTCAAGAAGTATAATTCAGTGAGATAAATTTAGAAAGAGGAAGATAGAGGTGATGAGAAATTCAGGTTAGAATTAAAAATCACACAAAGAGTGGATGCGCCTGTGCCGTTGCAAACGATTCTGAGCCATGTCGTTCAAGGTCTCTAACCATCGGTTATTGTCGTCTCGCGGACCCCAACCAGGTAGTCTGCATTTATCAACATGACTCAATCCAGTTGTCAGTGACTTCATGGATTTCTGCCATGTTTTGTTCTGGACGCCCCTAACTTTCTTCCAATCTACTCCGAGACTCCAAAACAGCTCGTTGCGGCAGTCGGTGGTTAGCCATCCGTAACACATGTCCCAACCACGTCAACTGATGAAGTTTCAATACTTCATCTATTGATTTGCCATCCTTACCTATAACTCGTTTTCTAATTATAACATTACTTACTCGGTTGTCCTAGGATACAATGTAATTATGTAATTATTGAGGACAATGGATGAAAATCATACAAGACAGTGGGTCGATTGAAGTCAGACATTAACACTATTGGATACCGGTTCAGTGGTCTAGGGATAAAGCATTCGTGTATGAGACCCTAGGTCCTGAGTTCGATTTCTGCCTGCAAAGTTTACGGATGCGCACTTCTGACGAGTCCCATACTAGGTAGGACGACACGATTGTCTAATGCTTCCAGGTTTCTGATGGCAGTCTAACAATGACTGATTCATGGTTTCAATAAAAATTGAACAATTCACAACTCCCTAATAAAAATCTAATTTCTATGGTCAAAATCATTTGAGATCAGAAATAAAGAGTACTGAACAGACTAATATATATCTCAACAAAACAGATTACAGCCACTAACACACACAAAAGTTGCAAAACTGAAATTCACCTGATAACATTTCATGATGCTGAAATGATTTAGACTAAATTAAGTTTCTTACATACTATCCAATCAATATTCATCGAATGTCATCTAGTATGGCTGAACTGTATCCATCACAACGTCACAAATCAATGCTAATTCTGTTGCGGGGTTGTTGTGAAGATTATTAAGTTTTATTGAAACCATGAATCGATCAATGTTAGACCACCATTAGAAACCTGGAAGCACTGAAAGACGGCCGTTTCGTCCTGGTATGGGACTCATCAGTGGCAGTGCGCATCCACGACTCCTGCACCCCGCAGGATTCGAACCCAGGACCTTCGGTATTGTACGCGAACGACCTAACCTTTGTAATTTCAGCAGTATAATGAACGTAATATTCAATAATTAAGGCTATTAGTTAGCATGTGACAACTTGACAGGTATAATTCGCTCAATACTAAGGCATAGTTAGATATGATGTTGACCACTACTCAGTTATTTATTAAAAAATATAACTAGGTCAGGAAATTGATCGTTTCCTACTATCTCAAACTGTTAAGCTTGAAGATCAGAGTTCCAGTTCATTAGGGAATAAATACTATTTTCTTTAAGATATCAGGTACAAATTGCTGACCAAAATGTCATATCACACGAAACCTATGTCAAATAGAAGTTGTGATTAACTGCCTCCACTTACCTAACGTTGAAGATTGAATATAGTTTTAGAATTAATCCTAGTCACCAATAAGAACTATTGAATTCCTACTAAGAGACGGATGTGTAGTGTGTGCATAAATATGTTCAGACCGTGGTGGAGTTTCATTTTCTGAACCCTGATGTTGTGCTTGTGTAGTTTTAATTGTTCTTCAGAACAACATCACCAGCACAAACTTCAGACCACATAACTTGTCCTAGCTTTCGGACAAATGTATTAACCTTTTCTACCCGACTCATTATTGACATGTCATTCTCTGATATCTTGGTTGTTTATATTTAAGTGTGTGTGTGTGCACTGCTTACTTCGCTTATTACATGTCTGGCCTACTTGCCTGACTATAAACATTTAGTCATTGCTCATTCATTGTATTGGCTCTTTCACCTTATCCACTTCGTCTCGCTCTGCTTGTATGTTTTTATCCTCATTTCTTCTGAGTGAATTATCGCATGAAATAAACTCGTTCAAACGAACACGTATTTGCATAAACTGGATTCGCCTACGTATGATATATGGAAATTGCAGGAAATTTTATTTCGTCTCATACTCAACCGGCCTACGCTCCATCAAGGGTAACAGGCATAAATAAGTAAAGTAAGCAAGTAATACTCTACCGTCCACCCGTAAAGGTATCAGAAAGCAGGTCACTAAAGTGGTGAGTCCCTACTTCGAGTTCAGCAGAACAACTAAATCTCTCATGACATTATGTTGGTTCAAAACTATTTGAAAATCCTTTATTCAATGAGCACAAACTTCAAATCTAAACGGAAGTATTCGAATTTCTCCACATATGACCCTTTAGCTTGTGTCAATTAACCTTGATCTTGATTGGTTGTTACTGACCATATGTTGGCGAGGTTAGATCCCCAGAACTCACTTGGAAAAGGTCCTCATTTTGAATTTCATGTTTTCGCCCATGGGCTGATCAGTTGACCTGGGGAGTACATTTCCCACCCAGAAAATCTTTCACTGTCACTGGTTGATGTAGTATTTTAGTACGCTATTTTTCTGGCTCTCACAAGGACGTTTCTATCATGTGCTTGTCAACCTCATATTTTCTAGGTGCTTGTAGAAAATACTTTCTACGCTTTATCAAGACTTCTTGCTATAAATAGCAGGGCCGAGGACAATCTAATCAGAATAGCCTATTGTGTGACTGGATCATTTGTCTTCGCTCTCTTTTACCAAGTCACATGAACTCCTAATAGTTTCAAACATATGAATTGACGAACATACCATATTTTTACGGGATAAGCTGACTAAATGCTATTCTCAACCCTCCTACTTTGTAGGCGTCTTGGAACCAGCAGTAACTCAAGATGGGCTTCAGGCGGTGTTTGATACTGATCATGTTTCATTTTATTTACATAGTTACCAATTAATCTGTGTTGTAAGGTGATATGCTCGTCAACTGATATGCTTGAATGCTATTACGAGTTCACCTTACTCGGTAAACGAAAGCGAAGCAGTGGTACAGTGACACGATAGACTATTCTGATTCGATTACCCCGGCCCAGCTAACTATATCAAGATGTCTTGATAAGGCGTAGAAAGTGTATTCTATAAGCACCCAGAAAATATGAAGTCTGCAAACACACAAATCGTGTTTATTTATACATCATATACCTAGGAAACGAGTTCTAAGTAGGGATAGCAAATGAATAGATGAAGTATTGAAAATCCATCAGTTGAGGTGGTTGGGACATGTGTTACGAATGCCCAACCACCGACTGCCTCGACAAGCTATGTTTTGTGGTGTAGGAGTAAGTTGGAAGAAAGCTAGGGACGGCCAAACCAAAA